AGTGCCACCCGCCAAGTGTGTTCATAATTGAACTGATATTATTAGGTTTCAATAAATTGTATAACAATCGTCGCTATTGTCAAGTGAAATTTACCCTACACTATAAATTTATTCCTAAGGTATTATTACGTCGGTTCGATAACGATTTTTTTGTGTGTCTTGCATAAAAATATTTATCATCTTTTTATCCTCTTTTGTTCAAATTGTGGTCTTTAATCTAATACTGTGGGGAGAGAAGATGTTACCTTGTTTGCTTATAATAATCAACCTCATAGGGATTGGCTGGGAAAACAATGAACAAACAAAGTAACAATAGAACCTAGCCTGAAAGCAAAAGATCTGCGACATATAGGGATCCAAATAAATTTGCGGTTCTGAAGAGCTGCAAGGCTACTGTTATTACAAATGATTTTGAACGAAACATATTGAAAAAATTTTGCTGTAACTGATGGCGCACCTGTTTATAATGGTACTAGTGAGATGGTTAAATGGGGTGTGAATATAATTGTATTCACTGTGATAGGTTTGAACACAGGAGTCATTTCAAAAGTACGTTGACTTTGATTGTCCGGGTAAACGTCGTCCTGAGTAGGACTGTTTTTGTTGACAGTGACTGAAGTTTTGATAACCTGCGCCATAGTCATCTTCAGAGTCAAAGTGAGTTGTATCACGTCGGTTGATGGTATTATACTCTGTTCATTGACCTGATTGTTTAATTATGTCGCGACGTTATTGGTCGTGTATTTAGTTGTTATTTTAAGGTACAGTAAACAACCACAGCAGACCGCTAATAAAAACCTTCTTTTTGGCTAAGAAGGTGCTCAATTTTGATGAAGGGAATAATAGGTTGTTGATTACCAAAAAAATAAATAAACTTTTTATCTATTGAAATGTTCTCAAAAACATAGCCAAGAAACGTCTACATGATGCTGACAGTTTCGATGTCTGTCAGCCGTCTTTATCAAACTTGAAAATCGTCAAAGGTGTCAGAAGCCTTAAATCGGCTTCTAAAGGTGTTGATTATTGCGATGAACGCCCAAAGTCACTCTGTAGACGCCGCCGCCCCCCCGGGTTTGGGGCTAATACATATGCTTTCCTTGATCCATCTCTTAAACTTGTCGCTTTGCTGCTCAGCTATTTCACTTGCTTCCCAATTCATAATATGATTGTTCTGACAGACGTGGTCTGTTATGGCTGATTTATGGTGCTCATTGGTAGAAGCTCTACGGTTGGATCTTGTGAAATTTCTGTCAGAGCTCTTTTGTGTTTCCTTTCTGTGTTCTGTGATCCTGGTTCTCAGCTGTCTCCCTGTTTCACCGATGTATACCTTTTCGCATTGGTTGCATGGAATTTTGTACACCACTTCAGGACCCTCCAGCCTTTTTTTGCTAATCAACTTTGTCCTTCGGGTGAACTAAAACATGTCTGAGGGTGGTTTGAGGTTTAACCACTGTGGCTACCCTGTGTTTAGTGAATATACGTTGTATTTTCTCCGTGAATGAGTGGATATATGGGACAGTCAATCGGGACAGTTAATATGGGACAGCTAATTATCGCAGTTAATATGAGACAGTTAATTATCGCAATAATTAACACCGTCAGAAGTCTATTTTTAAATAGAATAAAATATAATTAAAATAAAATAGGATAAAAATAAAAATAAAAAATAAAATAAAATAGAATAAAAGTCTATTTTTAAATAGGATAAAAGCCTTAAAAGGCTTCTGACAACTTTGACGACTTTCAAGTTTTGATAAAGATGGCTGACAGTCATCGAAACTGTCAACATCATTAAGACTTTTCTTGGCTATGTTTTGAGAACATTTAAATAGATATTAACTTCACCAGCCTGATGAATTTCTTCAAGAATAAGCTTTTTAGTTATTCACAATTGGGTTATCATAGTATAACCCTAACAAAACTGATTACCGAATTTATATACAGTTCAGTACAGTACGTTTTTCTTGTACTATAATTTACAACTCAAAGTTACACTCCTTTGTTAAATTGTTTATCATAATTATTTTAACTGTAACTCACATATAGGAACCTGCTTGATCTTTCTTGGCTAAACAGGTTCTTGTATTTTGGGGTATTAAGGTGGCAAAATTTTGCCAAGAGGTTCTTAATCAACAGGTTCTTATTAGAGGGTGGTTACTATAACTGCCTTTATAGTCAAACAACTCAAACCTGTATTAAGCGGACCTCGATAAGCGGTCACCAAAGTCCTGGAAATAGCTTCCCTTAATTATCGTAAAAACCGATCTGTATTTAGAAGTTAAGAAAGAATGTCGCTATAAGGATTGAGTAAAATTGGAAATGGTCAACCAAACCTTCCCTCCTACTTTGTGTGTAGTTACTACTTCAGATGAAACTACTAACTGTGGCATTTGTTTGACTTCTAACAAAAACCTACACTGGGCATTAAGTGGGGGAGGACGGGACAATTTTCTCCTTGAAAATTGGAGTTTTGTTAGGTAAATATCTCAGAAAGAAGACTAACAGTTAAAAATCTGTTTACTTGATAGCAAAATATCATCCTTCCTCTCAATAAAAATGTTATCAATTTTTCTCTAGGCCCCCCTAACGGCCCCTGTTCATTGTCATTTACAAGGGGGGTAAACGTTTTTTGACAAGGCTTAAAAATAGACATTTTTGAACACATTTTTTTCTTACTAGCACTCCGATTTAGATCAAAATTGAGACAAGATGTAAATATTTCACCCTTCGTGAACCGTTCCATGCTTAAAAATCCGCGGGCACTCGATACATTTTTGCATGCTAATCAAATGAAAATGTGTACCTGAGCCAAAATAGTAAATTTTCGCAACTTTTGTTCGCCGCTTTCTTTCTTTTAAATAATGTCATTGGGCCGATGTTAAGCAAGAACGTTGGATGGTTCCTATAAATCGCATACCTTTACGTTTTACGGTCAGTTATCGAGCAGATTAACGATTTTTGGTTTACAATAACCTGAGATCAGACCCAATATACATTCTCTCTTGCGGCTACCTCTAAAATTGGGCCTGATACAAACTCTCTCACGTTTGTGCTCGTGTTACGGGTCGTAACGCTGATTGCCTGTTAGAGCAATGTCACGAGATCTGATTGGCTGTCGGAAACGCCGGAAGTTGAAAGCGCTTATTCCTCGCGTGGTTGTTTCCTTGAATGATCCGCGGTCGGCAGAGGGAAGGATCGATTTTGCTGTCTTTTTTATCGTTTTATGGTCTTATGGTAGGAAAATATGCCTTAATATGTTCCATGGAAATTCAAAAAAATTCTTATGGTTGCTCGTATCTTCTCAGGATCTGCTTTAGTTATGGAACTAATGTGAGTGTATCGCGGAGTTGAATCCCTCTGTAAGCTGTTGACCGCTGACAAGGTGCCTTTTGATTTCCCAACAAACGAGTGCAAATCAAAATACTATCCATCTTAAAACTGGTTTCATTTGAAAGTTTAGCCGGGAGTGATTTCTCTGAACGGGGTACGCAAGCGGTACCCTGCGAGCAGTGGTTTCTGCAGGCCGGACGCTACGCTACGAAGCCTGGAGAGACCACTGCTCGCAGGGTACGCAAGCGGAGGCTCACTGCGAAAGAAACCTCAATCGCCAACTGTGAAGTATTAGACGAAAAATATCTCATCGCTGTTCAAGGAATTTTTGTAGGCATTATTATAAAAGCTGGTGGCGCTAGTCTTAAGTTAACAGACTTGTTGTTTGCCTTCGCTTTTTGTCAAAAATAGACCAGGAAAACTGGTGTCCTTGCTCGTTGGCTGTTTGATTATTTCGATTAATATATTTAGCGAGCTTTTTAGACCTGCAATAAAACAACAACACAACTAAGGAGAACTACAAAGTGTGTTTGTAATATTGTTTTTCGTTTTGTTTATGGGTCCGTTACGCATGCAGCTAGTGGCACATAATATTTACCTGGACTTTTTAAAATATATATATATTTTTAGACGTTTGTTTCCCTAGTAAATTCGCAAATATTATTGCAAGTATACGCACGGGACTAAATCAGCTGCATTAAATGCACTTGAGAACTCGTTTGGTTCGTTCTGAAAAAAATTGTATATCCTTTGAAAAAGTTCGCGATATATTTCTTCAAGATTTTTCAAGATTTATGTACTGAAAATCGGGGGAAATCGCTGAGGAAAATATTAAGGCAGCAGAAAAATAGAAAGTTCAGTATTTTAAATTCGAGCGTGCCTAGCCAAAATAATAAAACTAGAAGAACACCGTGTCGCTGTGCTTTCGAAAACTTTTTACCTTCTACGCCAACAGAAATAACCTTCGAGATCTCCTTTAATCTCGCAAGAAGTTAAATGTGATTGTGCTGACTGTTTTATTTTTAGCTGAAAAAATTAACAGATGAAAGCTCTTTTTGAAGTCAGCCAGTCTGAGTTTTTTCCCACGCATGAAAAATTTGCATACTAGGAAAACAAGCAACGGCAGTACTTTTGGCTGGCTGATTCGGCAAGTGTCAATCAATCAAAAAAGTGGGCGGAAGACGTTTCGTTGGTTTGTATCTAGCCTCCCACGCAAACGTTCTTAGGGGTTCGTCACGTGTTCCTTATGCCACACTCTGTTCCCCATCTCTTCCTGCCCTTCCAGTCTCCTGAATATATGCCTCAATGTTTTTGGATAGACCATAGTGGATGGTACGATGAACACCTTTGCAGTCAACTCCCATTCCAAATGCAATGGTTGCCACCA